GCATTAAAAATTTTTTTTTTTTTTTTTTTTTTTTTTTGAATTTCCATTCCATTACAAATTACTCCATACAAATCATCACGAGCTTGACAAATTCTTATGTGAGTGAAATTAAAGTAATGAGGCGAATCTTTTATTTATGAACGAGTTGTGACAAAAACAAGTAGAGTCCATAAGCATAGAACGAGCTATGAGCGAATGAGAAGACTATTTAAATACACAAACCTTTAAATCAACTGACGAGAGTACGAAACGAAAATAGAGGTACGAAAAGGTTAGGTAAGACTATAGTCACTAGATCGGATCACATGTTTCAACCAAATCAACTGCTTCTTTTTATTATATAATTAAATACTAATATAATTTTATAATTCTAATATTTTTATCTATTTTAGTGTATTACACGTGTGTTATGACTATTTAATGTACTAATTATAATATATTTATTTAATATAATAAAATCTTAATTATATATTATATTGTATATATTTATTATATTATAGTATAATATAATATAATTATAATTTTTAGTTATATTATAACTGAAATATTATTGTTTCTTACATGATATTATAATATGTTTTATAGTATCATAATTACCTTAATTATTTTAATAATATTATTATATTCTATATCATAATTATATAATATATAATATAACAATAGTTTTATTGTATTATATTAAATATATTAATATATTATGTTGTAACTATATATATTATATTATAGTATAATATAATATAGTTGTAATTTTTAACTATCCACAACAATTTAACTTCATAATTTACTAAACGCCATTACACTGATTTTGGAACCAGTACAACTATTATAATTATAGTTTACCAAACACTCAACTGCTTTTTTTAACAACTGCATCTTCCTTCAGCACAACTAAAATTAATTTTTTCAGAATCTACAGCACTACCAAACTAAGCCTCGGACTCGCTATTGATAACTTCAATAGCACAATTAGGAACACAGAGGACCTTGCCTTTTGTTTTGTGTGCTTTTGTACAGTACAATTTGTTATTTGATATACACACAACTCTCTTCAATCTTCACAAATATAACGGCACTTTATAGCATACGACATTAAACTCAAATGAAATGAATCATCACAATTCGAGCAATACACATGCGATGTCATGTATGCATTTACTTTAAAAAAAAAAAGAAAAGATACACTTGTTATCACAGAAAGTTACATGTTCGTTTCTGTGTCATATTTTTCTTTATCTTCATTATAATATACATGTCATATTACGTTACTGCCCCTCAACCGGTTATAATATATCCTTCCCCACCAGACATCAACCAACAAACATCTCCATGTGTTATCAGATCTGCCAAAAAAAAAAAAAAAAAATCCTGAGGCCTGAACCAGATGATCGACTAGTGTTTTTTTGCCTTACAACCTTTACTTATAATTCTAGCCCAAAAATAGGTGTCACTCCAGTCCGGCCGCCGGACTCAAGACAATACTAATAATTTTATAGTTTAAAATTTAATTTAAATATAAATTAATTTAAGAGAAAATTTTATATTTGTATTCTGTGTTGTGTTATAGCGTAAATGTTTTTGGTACCCTATATTTTTAGTAATTTTAAATTGACACTTTAATGTTTTAAAAAATTGTTTTTTTAGTATCATAAGGTCATTTTTTAGAATGTAAAATGTTAAATTTAACCTTCTCATTATTTTACCAAAAGCTAATAAATTTTGAAAAAATTATTTTAATTTAAAGCATTATTTTTATTTTTAATTTTGATTAATTAATGAGAATGGTAACTTTGATATTTTACATTCTAAAAAATGACCTTAAGGTATTAAAACATAATTTTTTAAAACGTCAAGGTACTAATTTAAAATTATTAAAAACACGAGATACCAAAAGATAATTACATTATAACACATGGTACCAATATAAAATTTTATCTTAATTTAAATATTCAAAAAATTTCATAAATCCTTTTATTGTGTAAAAAAAATTCATAAAACTTTAAACTTACATTAAATCAATAATACATGTATTATAATTAAAATTTTAAATAAACTTCATAATATCTTTTTATTCTGTAAAAAAAAATTCAATAAAATAAAACATTGTATTTTTTTTTTCTTATTTCTAACTTCAACTACAAGTCGTTTGCCTTTGGCCATCAACAAACATATTTTTTTTTTTTCCTGAAAAGCGACAACAAAACTTTTGATTCACTAAACGACGTTATTTTTGTTCTAAACGTGAAGAAACTTTACACATAAACGACAAACGACAGCATTTAGCAACTAGCAAGCAGGTCTAACCTGTGGACACTTTATCGTCATGCAGCTCATCTTTATCGTCCACATCCGATTCAATTCCATCCGACGGTCAGCAAAGAACCTCATCTTCAAACACGTGTTGATCTTTCGTCTTCTACTTTTCGAACATCACTTCCTCTGACACAGAAAAAGGTCTACTCACTGTTCTACAAGGTTCCTGAAAACGATGTCGTTTTGCTCTTCTCTATCATCGCCTCAATCACTCTCTCTCTTCTCCAAAACAAGACCCTCAACAGTCTCCTTCACCCCTCGCTTCCGAGCTTCCGCCGACGCCGACGTTCCTGATTTCCTCTCTGCAGACTGGTTCGCTTTTGTTGTCAGAATCACTTTTTTTATATATTTTTATTTTGTCAAATTCAGTATTTTACGAATTTTAGAGGAGAAATTGTGTTGTGGAGTTTGAAGATCGGTTTAGGATGTGTTTGTGATGATTTTTGGTGTTTGGTTTGATTGTTTTGCAGGCTTGAATCTCGCAAGAAACGACCTTTTGGTCCGAGATTAAATGTAAATTTCCTTCTGATTATGCTAAATGAGCAAAACACATACGTTAGCTATTGTTCGTGTCGTTTCCCTTTAGCATGCCAATCCTATCCAGGTGATTTCCAATCACTCTCTCTCTTCTCCAAAACAAGACCCTCAACAATCTCCTTCACCCCTCGCTTCCGAGCTTCCGCCGACGCCGACGTTCCTGATTTCCTCTCTGCAGACTGGTTCGCTTTTGTTGTCAGAATCACTTTTTTTATATATTTTTATTTTGTCAAATTCAGTATTTTACGAATTTTAGAGGAGAAATTGTGTTGTGGAGTTTGAAGATCGGTTTAGGATGTGTTTGTGATGATTTTTGGTGTTTGGTTTGATTGTTTTGCAGGCTTGAATCTCGCAAGAAACGACCTTTTGGTCCGAGATTAAATGTAAATTTCCTTCTGATTATGCTAAATGAGCAAAACACATACGTTAGCTATTGTTCGTGTCGTTTCCCTTTAGCATGCCAATCCTATCCACGTGATTTCTGGTGTAGTTTAGTGCAGAAGAAGCTGTACAACATCAGCTTGATGCTTTAAAGTACAACGACCAGCCTCGTCAAGATTATGGCATTGAGGTTATGTACAGGGTATGTTTCCCAATATTCCTGGCTTTCTTTATTTTCTTTGTTTTTCTACTGTGTTAATTCCGAAAATGCTCCCCAAACTTTACACCAAATTTAACTTTCGTCCCTAACCTTTTAAATCTGGACGAAATAGGCACCATTTAAGTGAGGGTAAAAAAAAAAAAAAAGTTTGGTATGGTGTCTATATATTGTTTTTGGTGTATTTTTTAACAATCAACTGATAGGATTCACTTGAGTAAGTCAGGATAGTTTCAGCTCAACTTTGGGACGTTTAAAAATGTCAGGGATCAAATTGAGAATTGGTCTCGGCGACCATTTTCTAGATTAACTTCTTCTTTTAACATGTTTAGAACGTCTTATAAAATTAGTAAACCTTGTAAACTAATTTCCTTTTTCTTTGCCACGACAGTTTGCTGGGTTTGATCCCTTTGAAAGGTCGACCTATTTTGGGCCATTTTTTGATTTGGGGCAGGTTAGTAAAAAGTATTTTTGAAGTTGAAATGTCCAATAATTTGTATATGCTTTTTCATTGATTTGCTGCTTTAATTTTACTGCAGTTTGAACGATTTAGGAGGATTTTTCACCATTCAACGTACAGAGTAGTACTGCGTCACGAGGAGAGAAAGATCTTGAGTAGTTTATTCGTGGAGGAGGTATAATTATAACTCCTGACTCGGTAGCTTTGAAGGATGAAACGCACGTTTGAAGTGCCTTGTGAGTGTTTGAATTCTTTCTTTGCGTATTTCCCTTTTCTAACAAGCTATTTTCGGATTTGGGAATTGTTGACCAGAATCGATTCAAGCAGCGGGTTTGGATACGGGGAAGTCGCCCAGAGGAAGAAGAAATCTTCCAGTTCACCATGGTTCAGGTTTAGTAATGTTATATTTTGTCTCTGACCGTGGTTCCCCTTAATGACAAATAAATGGCTTAGTTCAGTTACATTAGGATATTTGAGCAGTGAGCACCTTATTCAGGACATATCAACCACGGCGTATGCGAGAGCCCTAGTCGCTTTGTTCTTAACTTGATGCAAATACTTGTGTGCTGTAAAAATCACGCACTAAATCATGTTTAGTTGGGGGGCAGGAACGGGAAAATATATATATATATATATATTAGATCAAACATAGGAAGGGTCTTGTAGTTATGACTCCAAAGAGCCTCAAAAGAAGTATCAGGTGCCATGTCTAACTAGTTGCAGGGTGGAAAGGATTCAGTTCAGTTCAATAGCCAAATAATGTATTTTTTCTTGTTAAACATAGCTAGGCTAGCCATCTCATTCATAACATCTAGACCATTCAAGTTTGTTTTTTCTTGTTTGATAATGGAACATTTCAACCTGAATTTTCTGTTTTTTCCGTTATCTCTGTAGAGGGTTGGTGGTTCATGGGATGGTTATTGGCTGACGGAGAGTTTACTTCACGATGGAGATGCTTTTGCCGGTGGTTTGGCCTATTGAACAGTCAATGCAAGCTATGGAAGTTGTTCATCTGCGAAATTGTTTTCCCGCAGCCAACCGTACAATATGGAAGTTGTACATAGCTAATAATTAAACTTATTGCTTCTATATATTTTGGCTGAACTTTGTAAATTCTCCTGAATTTGTATATTCATTTCTGCGCAATACACATAAGTTGGGAGCTACATGTTTCTTTGCTCTCCGGTGCAAATCTAACTGCTCTAGGATGTTTTGTTAACGTGAGGGCCTGTTTAGTACGTGGGTTTGAAGTTTTGATTATGACTTTTGAAATTCAATTTTTTTATGAGAGAAAAATACTGTAGCAGAATCAAACATGTCCTAAGTGTGGGGTTTTTTCTTTCTTGTTTCGCTAGAGTTGTGAAATAGTATATCTTGGTCTGTATGTATTCCATCACAAGGCAAAAAAGCAATCTGTAAAAGTGATCATTTCTGCGCAATACACATAAGTTGGGAGCTACATGTTTCTTTGCTCTCCGGTGCAAATCTAACTGCTCTAGGATGTTTTGTTAACTTGAGGGCCTGTTTAGTACGTGGGTTTGAAGTTTTGATTATGACTTTTGAAATTCAATTTTTTTATAAGAGAAAAATACTGTAGCAGAATCAAACATGTCCTAAGTGTGGGGTTTTTTCTTTCTGTTTCGCTAGAGTTGTGAAATAGTATATCTTGGTCTGTATGTATTCCATCACAAGGCAAAAAAGCAATCTATAAAAGTGATCTGATTTTATACCATGGATGTTGAGAACGAACGCAAAGCTCGTCAAGCATTTGGAGATTCCCTTTTGTAGCTTAACCAGTAGGCAATCAACACAGAATGTGGTGGGCTTGATCACGGATTCGAATGCTTGGTTTACCTCTTTGAAAGTATTAAATATAGAGGCTTGTTTTCTACCAGCCAGTTTAGTACTCAATCTGCGATGCTTTATACCACACCCTTATGTATATTTATTGTTAACACATTCGGTGGGACTAAGGTGACATGCTCCTCATCTGAGGGGTAGAATCCGCCTGTAAGCTTTAGCGAACATTCCTGTCAACGTCTAAGGACCCTTTTGGTAAGTCCCCACACTTTCTTTAGCAGAGAGGAAAAAACCAGTAGACAATCATTTAGGACCATCCCTACAAAAGGTAACCCAATAAAAGATTTAATCCAATCCAATCCAGACACCCTATCAAACATATCACAAAATGCTTGTTTACTTGAAGAAATACAGAGAACATTATTTGGTCCCAATAAAATGGAAACTGAGAAAAAAGGAAAATTTAAGGCCAATCGGAGGAAGAAAAATTCAGATGAACTGTTTAATAATAGTAACTCAACCTAAAAATAGATGCAATTCACATGTTTATAACCTCAAAATTTGCTGCTACAACTCCAGTATATCTAAGGGAGTATGAAGTTAAGGAGATAATGGTGCAACAAGAAGGAACTCATCCGGGAAATAGATTATTTCTTGTTTTGGCTTTGAGTTATATTTTTGGTAAGAACATAACAGTCCGGAGGGGTAATGTTTGTGTAATAGTTCTGAATTGTTTCCGTGATCTCGAACCCAAATTTCTTATAGAAGTTTATGGCATCTTCATTATTTGTCTGCACATGCAAATAAACTTCAGAAATGTTTTGCTTGGAGGAAAGATCAAGAACATGGTTCAACAGCTTCGTACCTGCGAAAATCACAGAATTTGGATAAAGAAACGTGCATGATTGAGGGGAAAACTATTTCATGACCTTCAAGAGGCCAAGTCTTTGTAAACCCTATGAAGCTAAGCTAACTCGATAAGACTCATGCATTGATTTTTTAGTAACCAAGATATAAATCATATGATTTTGTAGTTTCTCAAAGAAAACCAATGACAAAAATGACATAGAAAGATTGATAAGCTGCTTTTCTTACCAATGCCTAGCCCACGATACGGTGCTAAAACTCCCAGTGTCATTATGTAAACACGGACAGAACCGCCTTCCTTCTTCTCAAGCCGGCATGCTATTGCACCGACGCATATATCGCTGTAGTATGCTGAAATGAGAAAAGAGTTTGACAACAAATGGGAATATGACTGTTAAGAAACACAAACTATTTAGTTATTTAAACAAAAAAACTCAGGCAAAGGTACACGGTTTGGAAATAAAAGAAAATTCGTTTCTGAAAAAGCAGAAACTGCAAGATACTTTTCGCACCTCGGTTATAGATAGTAGATACCCATTTTAGAATGCTAATTACCCACTAGAATAAAAAACAGTAAGCTTATTGAGGAAAAGGCATATAGAGATATCTCAAACAAGTATTCCAAAATCCAAATTACAAAAGGAAGTTCAAAACAGATTTGGTAGAATCTTCAGTCCACTTGAATTCTCCAATTCTACAGTCCAACGAATCTTCTAAAGTAACAGACAACTTATTTTGTGGATTTGAGAATATTATTAGGGAAGAATATAACCGTATCAAAGTATACGAATATTGTCCACTGTTCTGATCGGGGAAATGATTTACTAACTTACTACAACCTCACTCTTTCAAATCACCCTCCAACACTAGGAAATCTTCTACACCCACCTATTCTTTTTCACTATTGAATTGACCACCATTGTTTAAAAAGAGATCTCCCAACGAATTAACAACATATTTTGTGAAATTAAGATTAACTTCCCCAAAACAAATCCCACAAAGAAGAGACAAACAAAATCCGACAAAGCATTCCAGTATCCGTAATGGGAAAAGAAAAAATGGAAATCCGATACAGAAGGAAGTTCAAGGCATTATGATAACAAGAACAAGTCGAAACGAAGCTAAATCATCCCAAGTTTCCATAGACGAAGCCATGGATAAGCATAAAGGAAGGTCTCAAACGCAAAGCATTGGCACGAAAATCGAGGAAAGAAGCGTGAAAAGAAGATGGGTAAAAATAGAGAGTGAAGGGAAAACCGAACCAAGCTTGGTGAAATCGGCGGAGGCAAGGGCGTCGGCGTAGTACTTGTCGTTGTAGCGAACGGGGAAGAGAGCGGTGTTGAGCTTCTTGAGCTGCATGAGGTTTTTGTCTCTCACGCCGTCCAGAGAGATTTGAACTTCGCGCCCAGCCCCCATTGGAGACACAGACAGAGATAGAGAGAGAAAGCGCAATAAATTGTATTGGATTAGAGGGTTTTGCAGAGAGAGGGATATAGAATTGTATGGAATGTGAATCTGTGAAATTTATTTATACGACGAGCATTGTTCGAGGGAAAGACTCAGGGATGAACTTATGTTTTCGTTTTGGGCCTTTTGGGCTTTGCGTCGGTGAATTGGGCTTTATTAAAGCCCAATTAAACCATAGGACGGGGAAAGGAGACAAGCACCGGAGTCTTTACTCATTATTTTTTTTTATTAATTTCCTTTTAATTAAATAACTATATTAATTAAGACTCGTGCATTTTTAAAAATAAATTGAGTAATTTTCTCATGGAGAAATTTAGTAAAAAAAAATTGTAGTAAATAGTAAATTTATAAAATTAAATTGAGTAAATAACAAATTTCAAAACTATTTTAAATAAATAAAAGTTTACTGTAAACTAAAAAAATGGAAATTTAGACAGACTACTCTTATTGGTTATGTTGAAATATACGAAAAACGTACAATATTTTACTAGTTGATATATCTTAATTGTACTCATGCATTTTAAACTTTTTGTTATTTACCTATTTCATCCCAACTTTTTAGCTTTGATATTTAGGATCTTAAATTTGAGAATGCTTTGTAATGCGGTCTAATTAACAACCAAAATCAATTGATGGATGACAATTAGGATAAGAAATGCAAAAGATTATAAATGCTCATAATTCAAATTGTCAATCAACTCAAATTTTGATGGGCACTTGTGTATAAATATCGGACAATTTTTTTTTTTTTTAAAGTACATGGTTGGACTATAACTGCATCATAATTTTGTGTAGGCTTATTATATATATAACTTTAAATAATTAGGTGTCATTTTAACTTTTTTATTTTCTCTTTATTAATTAAATAACAATTATTAATAAATAATATTTTTTACCTGACTAATATTTTTAGTTTTTCTCTTTTTTTTTTTTCCAAAATTTAAAGTCTATTGAAACATGTATCCTTGCGTAAAAAGGAAAAAAAAAAAGTTAAAACATATATCTCCATTTCCCATCTTCATTTTGTGTGTGTGTGTGTGTAATTCTGGCCAACATTTCATGTGGTAACCTCTAGCCACATCTTCAGTGCCCATTAATCATCCTCCTTTTGTCTTCTAGTTGCCACCAAACGTCCTATTTTAATCCCAAAACAAGGTTCCAACCCAAAAAAAAGCAAGGGCAACAACAGCAAGAGAAGGAAAGTAAAGTGAAGAGAAAGCTTGAGAAAGATGAACGAGAAGAAAAGGCCAAAGGCAGTAATAGTAGGAGGAAGCATAGCGGGGGTATCCTGCGCACACTCGCTCATCTTAGCAGGGTGGGACGTGGCCGTGCTCGAGAAATCCTGCGCACCCCCCACCGGAAGCCCCACCGGCGCTGGACTTGGGCTCGACCCTCTAGCTCGCACCCTCATTGGGACGTGGATCAAATCACACCAACTTCTCCACAACACCACTTTACCTCTCACGTTTGATCAGGTCAAAAACTCAAACTTTGGGGTTTTTTTTATATTTTTTATTTTCTCTGTTGAATTTTAACTTTAGTTTGATGTTTCTCTCCGGTTCACGGGTTTTACTCAAAAGATTGAATGTATAATAAAAGTTCGTTTAATTCGGTGAATTGAATTTTTAATTCGAGTTAAAATGTGATTTACGTGTAAATAAAATAATTAAATGTAATTATTTTTAAAAAAATTTTAATATAATAAAATTTAAATTCTAAATTTAAATCGATAAAATTAACGAACTTAAATTTCTTTATACATCTTTTATTTTTAATAAGTTCACATATCATAAAGAAATAATTATTAAGTTACATACATTTTAATAATTACACTGTTAACGTTACTGTTTCTGCGTTAACACTAAAAGGAAAATGAGGTTATTTCTAGTTACACGTGACCATTATATAGACAAGAAACGCTATAAAAAGAATCAGTGATCCTAATTCATTTTATTTACGGTCTTTCTGTATAGAACCAAGCAACGGATGGTGAGAAGAAGGTGAGTTGGACAGTGACGAGAGATGAGAAGTTCAATTTCAGAGCGGCGTATTGGGCTGACCTCCATGATCTTCTCTACAATGCGCTTCCACCCAATATATTCCTTTGGGGTCACCTTTTCAGCTCGTTCTCTGTCTGTAATGACAAGAAAGCAGTCAAAGTTAAGGCCAAAGTGCTTCAAACTGAAGAGATTGTTGACGTAGTGGGTGATTTGCTTGTTGCTGCAGATGGGTGTCTCTCTTCAATCCGTAGGAGTTTTCTTCCCGACCTCAAACTTAGGTCAGTTCATAACTCGAGTTTGTAACATGTCTACTTTTATGACAATATGAACCAAACAATAATGTATTTAACATTGTTGGGGTTTGATAGCGTTTTTTTTTTTTTTTTTTTTCTTGAGAAAAGTGTGGTTTATGCATTTTGCAGCGTGTTTGTTCCTTTGTAGATATGCAGGCTATTGTGCGTGGAGAGGGGTTCTTGATTTTTCAGAAAACGAAAATTCAGATACCATCGTGAGCATTCGAAAAGCGTATCCTGATCTTGGTAGATGCTTGTACTTTGATTTGGGTTCGTCTACTCACATAGGTTTATATGAACTGCAGCGGAAAAACCTCAATTGGATTTGGTACATAAATCAACCTGAGCCCGAACTAAAGGTGATCGTTTGCATCTACTAGTTATGCTTTAAAAGAAAATCTACTTTGAAGCTGACAATAGTGTACGTAAAACGCATCGCAGAAAAACTCAGTGACCATGAAAGTAACCGATGACATGATTCAGAAGATGCACCAAGAGGCAGAGAAGATCTGGGATCCTGCTTTGGCGAGAGTAATTAAAGAAACGAAAGAGCCTTTCATAAATGTGATATACGATAGTGATCCTCTACAACAACTGTATTGGGACAATGTGGTGTTGGTTGGAGACGCAGCTCACCCCACAACTCCTCATGGATTGAGAAGCACAAACATGTCACTGCTTGATGCTGCAGTTTTAGGGGCCTGCCTTGACAAGTGGGGAAGGGAAAAGTTGGAATCGGCTCTTGAGGAGTATCAGTCCATTCGTTTACCAGTTGTTGCCAAGCAAGCCCTGCATTCTAGGCGAATGGGTCGCCTAAAACAAGGCTTGGTTTTGGAGACCGGCAAAACATTTGATCTGAAGACTGCAAATTCTGAGGATTGTGAGGAGCTGCAACAGAAAAACATGCCATACTTTGCTGACGCTCCCTTGCCCGTTGGTTCGCGCTACGCTTGCTCCACTCCTTAACCCGTAAAGCATGTTCTCCGTGAGCAAAGCAAGTTGTGCTGTCCTAGCCTTGCGCGTTGGGAATTGTTACAAGAAAAAGGCTTTTTAGAAACTTCAATTGATCTATAATTTAGTGTGAACTTTTTCATGGCATGTTTATAGCCTAATAAATCCACAGCTCAAAGAAATAAAAGAAACATTACTTATTTTTCTCTTTTTGGTTTGACATGGAAGATCTCTTTTAATCGCACAATTGACAAATCAACAAAGGATGTAAGAAGGCGCAAACCAACACCTTTTCATAATAGACTGCAATGAACTACTATTTTAGAACATTTCATGCAATAGCAGATTTCTCTAACCTTTTTGAGTTAAATTCTCGGAGAGTAGTTTATGTTGTCAAGAAATGTAAGTTCTCTTCTCCAAGTGCGAAAGCACATACTTTTTTTTTTTGGATAAATTGAGGTAGAATACCACAAAAAAAAAAGGGGAAAAAAATCCTCCTAAATTTCAATTTATGTACTATCTAATTTCAATAAGATCTAACTTCAAGGAACAAGGAGATTGGACAAAATTACGTTGGTGCATATAATAGAAAAGTGTTTCAAGTAACAGAAAATGATAACACACCATTATTTGTAAATTTCATCATTCCAACAAGAACCATCAAATGCTCCATTGTTCACAAGTTCCATCTCCATCCATTAGAAAAATTACAACCTCAATACAAAAAGGAAGCACTTTTATGCTAGGACTTACATGCCTACTAAAAATATAGAACAAGATGCAGAGGTCATTACATGTAATAAAATGAAATACCAAATCGAATGAACTGAATAAGTGTCACGCTGCGTTTGCCGGCCATGTTGCTTGTGCTGACATGATTATTCCTACAATCACTCCAAAAAGCCCGAGTGCACTTCCAAAAATCTCAATCACAAGAATCTTCACAAAGAGTGAGGAGTTTTGGGCATCAGACAAAGCACAGCTGCTTCCAATTATACCTACACACAATCTGGTGCCAAAAAAAGACTCAAGGTTAGAACAAAAAAGAGAAAACAAATGATTTTTATTCAGTCAATATGAAGACATGAGGAAAGGAAATTGACGAACCCGCAGACGAGGTTTGCAAAGCCAACAATAAGTCCAGAGGCAAAGATTGCGTATCCTGCTCTAAGAGACTCTGGAGCATATATCTGTGAAGATGGAACACTCTCTAATTTGGTTTGCAGGATGATTGCCACAATGACACCATAAATAGCGACAGCCTCACAGAAAATAACACTGCACAAGCAAAGAAGCATCTTATCACCTTAAATCCCCGTATACTAGAATATTGTTATGATAAAGTTAAATCAAACCAAAACAATTTCAATTTAAGCTTTTGGTCCAAGCAATCACCCTGTGGAAAATTTGAAGCCTTTGAGCTAAGGAACCGATTCAAAAGGTGTTTCAGCTCAAAGAATGAAGACAAGCCAAGCCCTGTATTTCATTGCAAGTAATGCTAGAGAAAATCTAGAAAGTTACGCTCTATTTTCAGCTGGGACAAAGTAATCCTCTGAAAATAGTTACAGGTTAGTCTTATCTAAGCTTCAATCCGACCTGATTTAGGCATGGCATTGAGTTAAAATTCCTATGAAACAGCCATAAGTGTTGATCCAAGCATGATTTAATAAAGTAATAAACAGAAGATTTAAGCAAGGTAAGCAATACCAAAAGACACAACCAAATAATAAAACCACATAAAGCACAATTCCTTACAAAACCAAATCAATCCTAAATCTAATTCCCTATACTTCCATGTTAACAGCTCACATTCAACATAAAAAGCACAATTCGGCAATAACGATTTTCTTAATTTCTCGTTCAAGTGATCCAATCTTACCACACATAGAAAAAACAACAAAAAGGACTAAAGCCCCAAACCCAAAAGGTAGAGAAATACGAAACAATTAAACAAACCCAAAATTGAATAAATCCGCCAAAAGATCCAAGCTTCCGAATCTTATGGAAACAGAAGTTAGGGCTAATCAATTACCTAATCAGATTCTTGGACGTGATACGGGGAGCTTTGATGGCGGCACCGATCAAGCTGCTTCCGGTAATGTAAATCCCCCTACGAATTTCACACAAATGTAAACATAAAAACAGAAATTGAAGAGGAAAACATCAAAAAAATTCGCGGCGACCGGATTACCAGGCGGCGCCGAGGACGGAGACGCCGATGGAGACGGCGATGCCGATGGCAGAGAAAGTGTAGGGCGAGATCCTGACGAGGGCGCCCGACCAGGTCGTATCGCCCACGACTGTTGCGCCGGACATGGTTGGTTACGGTTTGGATTTGGGTTTCAGCGAGCTTGATCTGGTGGTGGTTTTTGCTTGTTTTGAAGAGGTTAGATTCAATTCAATGGCTTCCTGACTGGAGAGAGAGAGAGAGAGAGAGATGGTAATGAAAATGAAGGGCGTTAGTCTGTGGTACCAGCAGAGAACCCGTTTTCCACTGTGGAAAACCCGAGTTACATACTACGACGGCGGTAAAATGTGGTGGCACGTGAGACGAAACGACACAAATGTATCAAACAACTTCACAAGCACCCACCTTCCGACGACGACGACTTGTACCTTTTTTTTGTTGGCTTTGGAGTTTTGTTGGTAGAGATTGTCCAATGAGCTCTTTAGCAAATCACAAATTAATCCCTAATTTTTTTATTATTTTTTTACAATCAAGTCTCTTACCTCTTTACTCTATTTTGATTCGCTGGTTTGAATTTTGTTGATTTAAACTTTTTATTTGGACAAAAAAATTCAAACCGTGTAGTTTAATCGAATTAGCATTTAAATGTGCAGTTAAAATTTTAATCTAAACAAGGAATAAAATTCAAATTTATGTTTGGTAAGTGTGAAAAATAGAGAGAGTGAGCACTAGAGGTGCAAGTTTAGGCCGCCCGATCAAGGCCTGGTAATTCACGGGAAATTTCGAGCCATGCCAACCTGGCCCTAAAAGATAGGGTTGGCCCAGCCCTAAGCCCAAAAAGATTAAGGCCGGCTCAACCCATCCCGAAATTTTATAAGGTATTTTAAAATTTTTTTTAAAAAATATGATGTTGGGGCCGGCCCGGCCCTAAAGGAGAGAGGGTCGGTCTAACCCTAAGCCCAAAAAATTTAGGGGCGACCTAATCCGACCTGTTTAGCTCGGCCTAAATTTACAACTCTAGTGAGCATCTTTTTATTGTTCAATAATAGTTTGAACGGTTGAGCTTAAGAAATGATCTAAACTAGCTTCAATGGATTGAATTGGATGATATAGTAATAATTGAATTGGATTGGATGGAATTTTTAAAAACTGAAGTTTGATTGAATTGGATGTTATATGACTAAAAAGATTGAATTGGATTGAATGAACAACCCTATGCATAGTTCTATTTTATGGGAAATGGGGATAATTTAGAAAGGCAGGAATGTAGATGGGAAATCATTCCCTGCTCCACCTCGTTGCCATCCCTTTTTTTACACTTGTTTCTGTAAGTGAACGACAATAAATTTTTGTATTGTTGTTTCCCATACTTATACGACGAAAGTCCTTTAGATTAGAAAGCACACGTCGCTTCTCCCTTAAATTAGAACATAATATTAAAAATAACAGATTCTTATTCTTTTGCTTTGGCGTAAAAAACAAAAAATTTAAATTGAAAAATGGCAACTAGTTAATTGAGTTTTCAAGTGCTGAAACTGATCGAGGACAAGGGACACATAGGTTCATCTCTAGACTTTAAAGCCATAAATGATATGTCATTTACTTAGATACGACATGAAACTTTCACAGAATGAGGCACGAAATATGCATGTTTTCTTGATTCCAATTCCACGAAATATGCGGCACTCTTTTACAAGATTCAGAATTTTACTTCTCAATAGACGTCACTAATTAAACGGCAGTTACGATGCATCACATAAAGTGCAGCTTCACGAAAATTTAAATAGAAATACAGTCAAATTGTTGTCATTGCCCCCCAAAAAACTAATAAAAACAGTCGCATATAAACGGTAAATCTGATGGTCTCAAGGTCATGAGAACTACATTTTCCATAAAATACAAAAATTAGTTTCTTTTGTTACGGACCCTTCACATGCAGTTCACACCTTTCACTCGTAAGGTCCCCATGAAAACCAACCGAAACACACACAAAAACAGCGCTCACTAAAGCTAAACAACTCCCAAAACTTGTCTAATTTTCTCAAAATGGCCGAAGAAGTGACTTTAATTTGCAAGCGCACCGTGGTAAGCACAAAGCCAGTCCCTCCGGGGAAATTCTTCCCTCTATCTAAAATTGACCAACTCATGGAGAAAAACCACCTTAGGATGGTCTTCTATTACCCACCAATTGGCGACATGTTGGAATCTGGTCAAGTGACTCGTAGGCTTAGAGAGTCTCTAGCCGAACTGCTTACACATTTTCCGGCCGTGACTGGAAGGTTGTTGAGGAATGACAAAGGGCAGTGGATGATTAAGTGTAACGATGCCGGAGTGAGAATGATTGAAGCAAGAGCTAAAGGGAGTGTGGAGGATTGGTTTAAATGTGTGAATAGAGAGAAGGAATTTAAGCTTGTTTATTGGGAGGAAATGTATCACAAGCCATATTTTTGGTCCACCTTTTATGTTCAGGTTCAAAGTCTTTATTTTTACAAGTATTTGAACCATAGACCTTAATATTAGAGGTGATCAACATAACTCGATAGGCTTCATGAGTCTAACGGAGTAAAGGGTGTGTAATAAAAACTTTGGTTGGTCAAATCTAATTAATTAGTATCATATTTCAAGTATAGTTTAACAGTAATTTCATTCTTTTATCCAATGTGTAGAACCGTGAAATTGTTGAGTTTTAACTACTTTCAATTTATGATTGTGTTTGTTTGCTGTTACTCCATGTGCAGCTAACTGAATTTGAGGATGGTGGATTTGCGGTTGGCCTAAGTTGCATCCATCTGGTTGGTGACATCACTTGTGCAACCATGTTCATCAACTCATGGGCACAGACAACCTTCTACGGCAAAATGGTGGCTTCATATTTCCATCCATTGCCACCAAGAAAGCCAGGCAACAAGAAACCAAATCACACTCCTTACATTTCCTTGATCAACCACTACAAATCTACAATTGAGAAATCCAACTCTATTATTCCCATGGTAGAGACAAAATACACAACCGCTTCTTTTGCGTTTGCTGACCGTGCGGTTCGGGCCTGCATGGCCACGACCCAAAGAAGGCACGGCCCATCTCCCTTTGAGGCCCTAGCTGGGCTCTTTTGGGTCTGCATCAGCAAAGTGAAAGGATTAACAAATGGGCTTGTGGACATGTCGGTGTGTTTCGACATGAGGACTGTTCTGGGAGTGGATAAGCGTTTCTTTGGGAATTGCATGGTTTATAACAGTGTCCATGCAAAGGGTTTTCGAGAAAACGACTTGTCGGGTGCTGCCAATGCCATAGCAGAAGTGGTGGCGAAGATGGATAACGAGGGCATCATGGATTTGATCGAGTGGCTTCAACGAAGGGACGACGAAAAGCTTCCGTTGATGAATGGATGTGATCTTGTTTGCGCTAGCTTAGGGCCCGCGGACCCGTATTTGGCCATGTTTGGAGGCGGGGTTAGACCAATCCGTGTGTCGTATTATGTTGAACCAGTGTTGGGATTAGGACAGGTGTTGGTCTTCCCGGGCCCACCAGGAGAGGGCCCACTGAGCAGGGTGGTCATGGTTACGCTTCCACATGATGAAGTGGTCAGGCTTTGTGAAGATGATCTTCTTTTGCGTTTCACTCCAGCTATTATAATGGGATTGAACATAAACTAGCTGTGTGACAAACAAAATTTGGGCATTTACGAATAAAAATTTGATTTTCAAATATGTTAACAGATATAGTATTTGAAATAACATTATACATTTAAAAATAGAATAAAATGAAAATATATTAAATATGTTATTTTCATATTTTTGATATCAAATATAATACTAGAATTAATATTTGCAATGATGATAGCCTGAGTATATATGCATATCAAGTAATTCACCAGGGGTAATAAATGGAAAAATAATTACTTTATACCCGTTTCATTGCAACATTTTTACTCTCTATTTTCGTTTTAAAGTTTGGCATATTTAATAGTACGCCCTCTTTTCTTCTCAATTCCATCTCTACCAAACGACCTCTAATATTTCCACTAAAATATTTCAAACAATTATTTTCCTTCACTACTATCTCTAGCAAACATATTTATATTGAGCAAAAAAAAAAAAAAAAAAAAAACCAATAGC